TTTACCCTTCCCCCTTCCTCCGCTTTTGCCTTTGACCTACCTCCCTTCTCTCTCCTTTCCTTTCCCCCTCCCAATCCATGGGCTTACTCCTTACTCCCTCGAGGGGGCTTGCCTCTTGTGTCCCCATTCCTGAGTCTGCTATCTGTGCTCCCCCTTCCCACCCTGACTTCTTTAACCCTCCTCTATCTCCCATCCCTCGTCCCTCCAACCACCACCGACCATCCCTCGCCTCCCCCTTTTCTCTTGCCCTCTCCTCTGTTACCTTGGAAGCCACTCCCTCGACTGCCCTGTTTGGCTTGACTCCTATCCCCGATCCTAGGGGATGCTCTCCCACACCCCCTCTGCTTTGCCACAACTTGTCGACCTCGACAGTCAGCTCCCATTTGGCACCTACGGCTTTGGTGAACTCAACGTTCATTGACAACTGGGATTGGGCACAAGGCAACCTACTCCAGAGGCCATATGAGCTTTCATCACCGTGGATGTAAAGACTAGGTTCAAAGTGAGTAAAAAGGATTGCAAGGAACTATCCAATCTCAAATGTAGCATTAATTATGATCAGGCTAACCCCTTCCTTCTCCTACCACCTCTGTTGCCCAGCCCCACTGGTGCTCTTCGAGAAGGGTGCCTCCCTCCACACCTTTGTCTGCATGAAAGTCCTGACCTGGAACATCTGGGGTCTCGATGACACAGTCAAGCAAAGAATTGTGCATGATTTTTTTTCATAAACAACTTGCCATCTCATTTGGCCCCCATTGAAGCTTGTCGATGGTTAGACAAGTTCGGGCCTCCCCCCTGTCAGTGGGCATCTCTCAATGCTAGAGGGGCCTCGGGAAGGATCTGGGTCATCTAGGACCTCTCTACCCACTCTCATATTCTCTCCCAAACTAGAGCCTTCTCCATTTCGGTGGTCTTCTCAAGAATCTCCAACGACCTTCACTAAAAATTCACAGCTGTATGGCCCAAATTCTAACGCCCTCCATGGCAGCATTTGGGAGGAACTCAATTCTGTAGCCTCGATACCCACCCCTCTCTGGTGCATAGGTGACGATTTTAACGTCACTAGGTGGTCTTTCAAGCGGAACTCTAACCCAGTATCTTTCATGCAATGCTGACCTTTTCAGACTTCATTTCCATGAACTATAACATTGATATTCCTCTTCAAGGCACCCAATTCACTTGGTCGGACCACTTGGCCACCAATATCTCCAAACTCGACTGATATCTCCACTCTCTCGAATGGGACTTAACCTTTTCGGGGCCCCACTTAAACCCACCTTTGACCATCGTCCCATACTGTTGGATATCATCCCCTCCTTGGGCGCACTAGACCATTCGAGATTTGAATTGTCTTGATTCGAGTTGTCCTCCTTTAAATGCCTTTTCCACTCCTAGTGGTTCTCAGCTTCCACTTGGTCCAAAGCTGGGTTGGCTTCTGCCTTCAGAGGAAACTTCAACACCTAAGGCCCTCCTTAAAGATTGGGCACGCCACCTTCTTGGGAACTTCCGAGAGCAGAAAGAAGCCCTTCTGAAGTCCATACGGTCCTGGGACTCATTGGAAGAGACCCGACCCCTCAACCCTACCGAAAGCACCTTTGGGGAACATGCCAAGTTCGACTACCAGTGTATTCTCTGCAAGGAGGAGATCTTCTGTTGCTAGCGAGCTGCTTAAGTTTAGGGACTCTAACATGGCTTTCTTTCACAAGATTGCCAATTACCCAAGGTAAGACAAATGTATCTCCCAATTAAATGTGGGAAATAAGCTATTCGACCAACCCTCTCAGGTTGAGGAGGCCATCATCAATTACTTCAAGACTCTCTTCTCGGCCGATCAGGGACCTTAGACCTCACATGGCCAACGTTTCTTTCAATTTTATTCTCCCAAACCTAGCCACCTAGCTCAAAAGAGCCCTCTTAGAAGAGGAGATCCTCTCGGCTGTCAAAGTCCTTTGTTACTCGGTAACCATATTCAATCAATTCTGGGAGACCATGCATCCTGACATTACTGCAATGTTCAATGAATTCTCGGAGAGAGGGATTATCCACAAGGCCATGAATACCATTTTTATCGCCCTAATCCCTAAAAAAGAAGGGGCTGAGGAACTCAAGGATTTCAGGCCCATTAGTCTCATTAACCTATAAGATTATGTCCAAGGTCCTCATTTCCAGGTTGAGAAGTGTACTAGGTTGGGTCATTTCCCCTACAGAAGGTGCTTTTGGGACCGACAAATCCTTGATGGTGCCCTCTTGGCACATGAGTATATCCACTCCCATCATCTGGCCAAAATACCTAGGGTGATAATAAAAGCGGATTGAGAAAAGGCATATGATCATGTAGACTGGAACATTGTAGAAGCTATCCTTTCCAGAATGGGGTTCGGTCTTTGCTGGAGATCTTGGATTACAGCTTGCGTCTCCAACCCGTCCTTCTCAGTGATCATCAACGGTACCCCAAAGGGTTTCTTTTCCTCCTCTTGGGGTCTTGGATAAGGCAACCCACTGCCCCTCTTCCTCTTTTCTATAGTCGTTGAGGTATTCGGCAAATCAATCTCGCGAATGTACCAAGGTGGCCTTCTCATTTGGTTCAAGGTTGGCAGACAAGGACGTAAGATCTCTCACCTTCAATGCACCGACAACACCCTCATCTTTTGCGACACCAACCTCTCCAGATCGATGACTTGAGGCTTTTCCTCAAATGCTTCGAGATGGGGGTGGGATTTAGGGTTAATATGGCTAAAACCAAGATGATGGGTATCGACCTATCTTCGAAAACTCTTTCCTCCCCTTTAGACAGATTGGGCTGCACAATAGAAGAGTTGCCCTTCAATTATTTAGGTCTTCCTCTCTGCATTGGACAACCTAAAACTTACCTATGGAGCATATTGTTGACAGAGTCAAGCGAAGGCTCGCTGGCTAGAAGGGAAGATATCTTTCTTCAGCCGGGCGTCTTACCCTCATTAAAGCTACCCTCTCAAACATCCCTATTTTTCAGATGTCTCTGTTTCTCATGCCTGCCTCGGTTGTGGGCCAGCTAGAAGAACTCATGAGGAATTTCCTTTGGGCAAGTGATGGGGGCACTTGATCTCTTGAGCTAGAGTGTGCTCCCCCAACTCTCAAGGGGGCTTGGGCATCCGAAACCTCAGAGCCAACATCCTAGCCCTCTCGGTAAATGGTGGTGGTAGTTTGCCGTGCAGGAGAATCACCTCTGGAAGGAGGTAGTTCGAGACAAATGCCTCTGTCAGACTGACGCTTGGCTACTAGTTGGCAGGGGTGGGTCAAACTGTTCGGGTGCATGGAAGTCCCCTTGTTCAATTGGATCACATTCTCTAAAGAACTTTGACTGTTGACCAGCTTCAAAGAAGAGGTCTCTAGTTACCTAATAGGAGCAATATGTGCATAGAAGAAGAGGAGACTAATGCCCATTTGTTCATCCATTGCTCTATAGCCAGCTCTTTGTGGGGGTACCTACTTCAACCCTGTGGCTGGTCCTGGGTGACTCCATCATCTATTCCTCAACTGGTTGAGGCCTTTCTCTCTCCACCATGAACCAGACAGGGGAGGTTCCTTTGGCATGCAGCGGTCGCGGCTACACTTTGGGTGATCTGGTTGAAGCGCAATAATTGCACATTTAGAGGTGAGAAGTCACACCCACGAGCACTATTTGATAAAGTCAATCTCTCCTCATATTCTGGGCTAAGAACCACAGGCTCTTCAAGCATTGCCCATTCTCGGACTTCCAACTCAATTTGAGGAACTTACTCTTCCTCAGATCAGTTCGTAGATCTCTTTCCTCTCTTTGTAGACTATTGAAACAAGGCCAAGTCAAACTTAACTTTGAGGGTTGCTCTCTCGGCTACCCAGGCCCTGCAGGTATTGCGGACATCTTCAGAGATTCCAGGGGCACTACACTACTTTCTTTCTCCCACTTTGCAGGATTTATGGAATCCATGGTAGCCAAAGCCTTAGTCCTTCTGTGGGACTCTGCTTCTTCAACCCGACATGGGGTGCAACTCTGATAGTTGAGGGGGTTCAAAGAATGTCATAGCTTGGGCTTCTAGATCTTCTCTTTGCCCATGGAGATTGGAGCTTATCTTTGATGAGATTCTCCACCTTTGCAAGGCTATGCACGTGGTTTGGCGGCATACTTCGAGGGAGGCCAATGCTGCAGAAGACACCCTTGCTAAGGAAGGCGCCTCACAGCAGAACTTGCAGGAGACCTTCGAGCATCTTTTTGAGCTCTAGACATCACATTTTGCTTTACTTTATGTACTTGAGCTTCTATAGCATTTTTTGGACCTTGTAAGGGGTTTTTGATACATGAACACCAGTCTGTGTGTGGTTCATTCTTTTTGTACACCTCCCATATCAATACAGTTAACAGTTTCAAAATAGAAAAGAAGAGTAGTCAAATTACCTCCAGCATGGTTGATTTTTCTGATTTTGTGTTTAGAAGCAAACTCGATCGGCCTTCCCCAAATTGTTCATGCCTTACTTGGTCAAATCACAGGGCCAGCCCTACCCTTACCACACTTGAGGTTCCTCATTTCCCTCGAGTGGAAGGGATTCTCAGGAGTCCATTCCAGAACCCTTCCAAACCTACTTGGGATTTCCCATCTTATTAGACGATGAACCTGTCGTTAGTGGTTTAAGACCTTTCAAATTCAAGATGATGCGGCTCGAGTACCATGTGCTTAATTTTCAAACTGTCACATCTAACAAATCTTTTGTAAGTAATTGAAAGAATCAATTTCCTCAAAAAAAGAAAAAAAAAAGTTTGCTCATGGTTTCTTGCAAGTGGTTACTATTTGCCACTGCACTATCTTGGCGAATCAATGCACGAGTCTTCTTCATCGTGAGATTGAGTAATATGGATCAACTTTCATCTTTTCACTTCGATTGAGACTTGGTGCTAAATTAAGAGTTTGATGGCCAAAGATGGTATCCTTTGGGCTTTATATGATTTTATATGGCATCTGACTGCAATTATCTTTGTTCCACAGGCACTACATTATGATGTGAGAAGAGGACCTCATAGTGTTGGGTCGCATGTACGAGATGCGGCTGCCTATGTATGTTGGGCTTTTGGCCGTGCATACTATCATGCTGACATGAAAAGCATCTTGGAACAACTTGCTCCACACCTTTTGACAGTAGCCTGCTATGATCGCGAGGTCTGCCCACTCCTGTTTCTTTTTGTTCATGGTTCCACATTATAGAAACTTGTGCAATTATTCTGAAGAACATAGTTTTCTTTGTTGGACTTATGGTTAGGTTAACTGTAGAAGAGCTGCTGCAGCTGCTTTCCAGGAGAATGTTGGAAGGCAAGGAAGTTTCCCACATGGAATTGACATAGTGAACGCAGCAGATTACTTTTCTCTGTCATCCCGTGTCAACTCCTATCTTCAGGTTGCAGTGTTTATTGCTCAATATACGGAGTATCTCCATGTATTCGTCGATGAACTATTGACCTACAAAATCTGTCATTGGGTATGTTAAACTGCTGCATATTGTTTTTTGTAATCTTGTTATTTGTTACATGCAAACTCATGCTTATGTTATGGATAAAAATTACTCCCTTGCCTACCTGTATTCTATATAATCTTTGTGTAGGAAAAGTTTGTCTCTGCAAATAGCAAATCCCATAAGGCAAGGGCTAACTTTGTGTCAAAATCGTGCTTAGCACTCACTTATTGCTCTGTCACATTCTGAGCGTAATTTGACACAAGTTCAGCCCTTTGTGTATGGCATATTTTTCATTGTTGGTGCCAAATGTCAAGAGCTACCAACGTTAGTGAGAAATAAATAAGAGGAAGACTAGAGCTGCCAACTTTAGCAATCAATGTTACGTGATCTATTGAGATCCAGTGAGAGACAGTACTTGGATTACTTCCTAAGTGTGTAACTTCAAGATCTAGAGTAGAGGCATTCCTTGAGGACCAAAAAATCCTCAAGGAGAGTATGGCATGCCACCTCGGAATGCATGAGAAGTGAGGCATGGCTTCCTTGGACTTTAAAGGCTGGAATTGTATACACTGAATGGATTTGATACCTGTCACATAAGCTAGAATTGCTAATAATTAATCTCATGGACAGCAAATAAAAACGATGCGCCTCAGTACTAATAGTTAAAAGCAAAAGCCACCCATGCATGCTATATTGTGTTAAAGTTGTGTGCAAATGGTATTCTCTCAACACTTTTACTCCCTTACAAGCAAAAGGGATGCACCTCAGTAGTAACAGTAAAAAGCAAAAGCCACCCAAACATGCTATATTGTGTTAAAGGTGTGTGCAAATGGTATGCTCTGAACATTTTTAGTCCCTTACAAGCAGAAGATCCCTAATTGAACTTGCCCAGGTCAGCATTCTGTGATGATCCAGTTCCTTGGATGATGGTGCATATTGGAAGAAATTTCAGAGTTTAGTTTCCGTGGTATGTGTCCCGTCATACATCCTTAGGAGGCTACGGAGACTTGATTCTTTGGTTAGGAAGTTATATAGGAAGCCAATGAAGCTTTTGACTCTTGGTTAGGCTGACAATTTAGGAATACCGTCCCAATCCTTCTCTCTCTCTCTCTCTCTCTCTCTCAATACAAGACCTATCGCTCATGGAATGTGCTATGTGACCCGCCATAGATGTGTTTCTTAAAAATTTTTGAGTGTGCTATACTATATATCTAAACTTGAGAACCATGCAAGAACTCCTTTCTCTTTTCTGTTATATTGTCTCTTATATATTAGTCATGCATTATCTCATACTGTTTACCTTATGCATGCATATGGTATTGAATACAAGATATATGCTTTGTAACATGAACAACAATTCTCATCTGATCCATAGTTTAGTACTGGGTTTGTGGTATTAAGTCAAGTGTTTATATATACTACCATTTCTATTTATTCGGTAAATTAGTATGTTATTTGCATTTTGTTTTGTAGGATAAAGGATTGAGAGAGCTGGCTGCAGCAGCTCTTTCTGCCCTTGTGAAGTATGAACCTGGGTATTTCTGTGATTTTGTTCTTGATAAATTGATCCCTTGCACTCTTTCACTGGATCTAAATATGCGTCATGGTGCAACTCTTGCTGTTGCTGAAATTGTGCTGGCCCTACATCAGTGTGGTGCCATGCTATCTATTGGTGAGTACAATCTATTAAGCTCAGGTAGGGCGGCATACTTTTAAAGTCTTCAAATGGCCCATGTTGGATTGAAGTTGAGTGTAGAATGTACATTACATGCTATAATTAAAGATAGCTATGGCTATTAACCACATGGATTTTCTGCTTCATATCTATAACGATATTTTAGTTTAATATTTGTTTCTTGATATCACAGTTTCATAAAATTTACAAAAAGTTTATGTTTATCTTCTAAGTTCGTTCATTACAACCCTGTAGGATGGTAATGTTTTAGTATCATATATTACCCATTAATTATAAATTCCCGTGAGATATGAGTAGGACCTGTCTCCCCTAGAGTAGTTTTTGTTACACTGACTTATTGATAGCTATAAAAATGCATTATTTATTTGAATGTAAAACTAAGCAATATTTTTACTGCCCTTTACGTCATATCTACTTATTCTGTATAAACTCTTTGCACATTTCAATTTTAAATTCAGCTTGTGCCGCGAATCATTTTTTTTATTGCAATGAAAAAAATACTGTCAGGCTGCTGGAAAACAGATCTGGCTACTAATTGCATCGACTGTAATCTAAAGATTGCCATAATGTGTGACTTATCGTGCTGCTCAGTTGATAACTGATCAAACTATAAGCCAGTGCATCTGCATTTCTCCATGTACATGTGGGACTGTATCATGTGATCAGCTGTTAGCATTTGTTTCACAATATGCATGTTTGTCAATGTCTTCGCCTCAAGGTGTGTACATGTATTTGTGTATACTAATGGTTGTTTGTGTGCTTATGTAGGCACTAGCAAATTTGCCTGCATTTCTCCATGTGCATGGGGGACTGTATCATGTGATCAGGTGTTAGCATTTGTTTCACAATGTGCATGTTTGTCAATGTCTTTGCCTCAGGGCACGTTCATGTATTTGTGTATACTAATGGTTGTTTGTGTGCTTATGTACGCACTAGCAAATTTGCCTCATATATTGGGCTTGACAGGTATGTTATTGTGTTGATGTTGGTACTTTTTGTTGGATGCATTCTTGTGTTGATTTTAGAGGGTGTTTTCATGCATATTTGCATATTATTAGTTTACATGGCCGTATTCTTCTGTTTTCTTCAATCTTGAGGCTAGATTTTGATGTTGTATCAACTAATCTGGCCATCATCTAATACAATTATTCTTGAATCTAAATCTAATTTGGCATGTTGTGTAAAACTAATGTAGCAGCTCTCTTTCACCCGAAAAATACTTTATTGTCATGCTATATGTGCCAGAGTTTTGTGAATGTGGCTTCTGTTTCTGGATTCTTGCTTGTGTCGTTATATCATTTAGGGCCCCTTTTGGCAGACCAATTTGGAAATGGAGGTCTGCTTGGTCCACTCTATTATTCTAGGTTGCTATGGTGTGGGCAATTGTGCTGTTACATTGGGAAAAAGAATTCTATAAATATCCTTATTTTGTTTCTGTCTTCTTTTCAGAAAAACAGAACCGAATTTCAGGCATAGTTCCTGCCATTGAGAAAGCTCGTCTTTATCGTGGAAAGGGTGGAGAGATCATGCGTTCATGCGTTTCCAGGCTCATTGAGTGTACCTCTCTGTCAAATGCATCTTTACCTGAAAAGACAAAAAGAACCTTGCTCGAAACTCTCAACGAGAACTTGAAGCATCCAAATGCACAAATACAGGTATATGGATCTATCTGTTTGTTTGTATCACTCAGATATTTCTTCACTTTTCTGTGTACTCCAAGAGTAGCACCCCCGAGCTCAGAGTGTTGAGTCTGCCTTAATGTTTTGCTTCTTCATACACCTTCTTATGGCAAATGAAAGTTAGTATCCCCCGAGCTCGTATTTACTCTTTAAAAAGTTAGTGCTTAAATTATTCTAGTTCAACCGTATTTGCAGGGTTCTGCCGCTCAAGCATTGAAGTATTTTATTAAAGCCTACATTAGCATGAGTGATAAACTGGGCCAAGATCTAATGTCAAAGTACCTAGCATTATTGGATGATCCTAATATGGCTGCAAGAAGAGGAGCAGCATTGGCTATAAGTGTTTTTCCGTATGAGCTTTTGGTTCGAAATTGGGCAGTTGTGTTGGATAAACTTTGCCCCTCTTGTATGATTCAGGTTTTACTTTCAACATGAAATCTCTTATCTCTTACCGCAAAAAATGAAGATATCCCTTATCTCTTTGTTTCATTGAAGCCTACAATAAGTCTCCCATCAATGTTAGTTTATTTTATTTGAATTTTGTTGCTCCTGTTTGCAGGAAAATCCAGATGACCGAGATGCGGAAGCATGTGTGAATGCTGTTCGAGGATTGGTTTCAGTTTGTGAGACATTGACAGGCACAGGAAGGTCTCCTGTTCTTGATGGTATAGAGGGAGCTAAATCCCTAGATAGATTTATCAAGAATCAAGTGTTCGACACTTTATTTAAGGCTCTTGATGACTATTCTGTAGACAACCGAGGTGATGTAGGTTCTTGGGTGAGGGAGGCTGCGATGGAGGGCCTGGAAAAATGCACTTACATACTTTGTGAGATGCAATCTATGGGTGTTGGGAGTTTAATAGCAGATGTGGCTGAGAGTACTCCAGCGCTATGTGATAGTTCGTTGGGTTCAAATAATGAGGATCATCCTCTTTTTGATGCAAATATTGCAACTATGTTGATTGGTGGCATTGTGAAGCAAGCAGTGGAAAAAATTGATAAGATAAGAGAAACAGCTGGAAAGATTCTCCAAAGGATCCTCTACAGTAAAGAACCTTTTGTGCCATGCATTGTACATAGGGACAAACTGGAAGCAATCATACCAAACAGTGAAAATTTGAACTGGGGGGTGAGCATACTGAACTTTTTTACCACAATCCTTGCATATTTATGGCTATGGTTGAAAATAGACATCTTCACCTTTGTCATTTCACTTTTGAGTAGCTTCACCCTCTTATTTGAACTTGCCTTCCAATTCATTGTAGGCACCTAATGTTTCATATCCACGCATGGTACACCTACTTCAGTTTCCTTGTTACAGCAAAGCCTTTCTTTCTGGTCTAGTTATTTCAGTTGGGGGCTTGGCAGATTCATTACGAAAGGCATCACTTGCTGCCTTGCTCGAGTATCTTGAGGTTTCGGAACTAGATAATTGTGAGAGGAAAATTGAAAAGGATCACATGTTGTGCAATGATTTACTTTGGGTTCTTCAGCAATACAGGAAATGTGACAGGGTGATCATACCCACTCTAAAGGTGAAGTTATCTTTTGTACCAAAATTTGTTTTGGTTTTAAATAAGGGAAAGTATACCCTAGGCAGCCTTTATATACGGTGCTGGTACAAGGGTGTCCATTGTCTACACTCAATAATGGATGGTGGAGATTAATTGTGATGTTTAGTGTTCATCAATCTTCACCTTCTGCAATTGGGAACTCATGGTGGATGTCCCAGCTGTGCACCATATACGATAAACAACCTCTGTTTATAAATATTCCTTCCCTTGGAACATAAAAATGGTTGAACTTTAGAATTTTATCAAATTATCAGCATAAAAATTATCAATTTCGGATAATTAATATATATATATATATATATATATATATATATTATATATTATTATTATTATTATTTATTTATTTAATAGTCTTTTCTTTTTTGTTATAGTCTTCTACAAGATAGTTATATAGTACTTATAT